GCAGCCGACAATCCGGCCTCCGATTGGGCAGACTGTACGTCCGCAGGTCCATTTTCTCCTTTGAAGGCATTAAGAGAACCGCACCTATGCAAATGCTTCATTCTGAAAGCTTCTCTTTGATAACAGGTAATCGGATGATTTCGGACAGTGAATGGCTTGAAAGTGAACAAGCAAATCTAAACACAGTTTGTATGGTGAAATCTATGTAAAGCCTCTCAATGGAGGCTGTAGGTGTCCGCGCATAGAAACTACAAAAAATACGAGAATCTTTTTCTTTATCTCAATAAGCCCCACCGAGCGCCAAGTTTGCGCACAGCATGCAAGCTGTCTCTATCCATTTACAAAGAACCACTTACAAATCTAATCAGTATGGCGGCAAGTAAGAAGCATATCCAGCAAAACCGAATAAGTTCCTTGAATCTCTTCGTACAATCAGCGATGACACCGCAGATCAGCGAAGCAATTAAACCGGTGAATGCAGCCAGCGCAGTAGGATAACTAAAATATAACAAAGATCAGAGCATAAAAGGTTTAGCGTCCTGTACTCACCCATAAAGTTTGTAACCCTGTTCTGTGATGATGTCATCCATTATCACCATAAAACTCCAAAGCTCAGCAAAGGCAAGACCAAAGATGAGCAATTGTATAATAAACTGCTTATTACTGAAATAGACATGAATGAACGTGGAGAATCCAGACAAGGTGCATACCATTAGATGCAGCATCTGTATTCCCGTCTGCTTTTCGCCCTTTGGACGAAGTTATGCATGGTTAAAAGCCACTATTTTAAAAATCGTACATGCAAAGCGCAAATTTTTTCGACAGTATAGAGCCATGTTCGGCTGATTGCTGGGTAAAATTATGCTAGGTTACTTCCTACTCTCAAAGCCTAAATATACTCTTAAAGCCTAAAGGTGAGCTGAAAGTGCAACACTGCTCAATTTCAATTTTATAAACGATTTTTCTGCATTTAAACGTCGCCCATAAAGGCGAAAAGCAGATGGAGAATATGAATCGGATTCAACGTCGCTGCATCTAATGGTATGCAGCTTGCTTGAATTGGCCGCTTCGACTTCTGACCATTCCCTTGTTAGTTTAGTCCTAACATTGGCACTGCAAAAGCTGACCTGAAGCAAATCGCAATGGCCTTCCAGAATGGAGGTGCCTCCGACGCATGGTTCGCAGATGAAACAGATGGAGGAGTAGGAGGTTTACCATGCCTTACGAAGAACGATAGCACGAATGCGATTGTTGTCAATATAGCCATGCTTGCATTCTGTTGAAATTCATTCTGTTGTTCATTCTGTTTCTAATGAACGCTTAACTAATAATAGCTCTCTTCTAATACTCTATTTGATGACGATGCAAGAAAAAGACTTGCCTTGTGGTAAATGGTAAGCGTCGCGGTAAGCAAATGCATCTCTGCGCTAAGTAAATGCAGAGAGTGTCTTGTTGTTCAATAAAGTATTTTAGGCTGTTTCTACTTATCAAAACAAGGAAATGCGCTGCACGTTGTTGTTTTGTGGTACTGGTTTCAATATTTTCAAGCATTTGCATGAGCATTGATTTTTCAAAATGATCATGGCACTGTTTCGTAATAGTGCCGTAATCGTTTTGAAACATCAATGTTCATGCAAATGCTCGAAATATCGCAGTCATTATCAAAATCTCAGAACTCGCTGGA